CAAAAAAGAGGGAAGGAGATTCTTCAGCTTTGAAACAAGAATATATGTGGGAGGCAGTCTTTGCAAATCTCGAATAAGTACCGTGCAAATAAGAGAGCAGCAGGTGACTACTGCTCTAACGTAAGTACTGCACTTGTATTTGCCACACTCCCGACAAAGGCTCCGGGCAGAAGTGTGTTGGCAATAAATCGTAACTGAGTACCGTAACTTCCAAGTAGCTTTTAGGCCACAGCCTCCTGTCAGGCATGGGTGCTGTACCCCGTCCTCAACCTGCACTCCCACACAGAATCAGGGCACCTCACACTACAGCCAGCACTCTGCAAAGTGCTGGCCCACGGAGCAGCACCAGAGTACAAGTTGTTACTGGTTAGCTACAAGATAGGTCTAAAACATGCGGTTATCGTCATCTGACTTTGTCCTTCAATCAGTCATTCCTGTCACCTGTGATACAACCTGTGACCATGTTGTGTGCAGCAGAATACCTATCAGTTCAGGACAGACTGCAAAATACTGCAACCAAAAGATGGGCCTTTACCCCAGGGCATGAACAAGCTCATCCACTGAGGGGCAGATGCATCTTCAGGCTGTACAGCTCATGTACAGTCCCTGCCTTGCGTTCTTCTTTGTTTTACAAACCTTTCAGAATATAAATGCTATATTTAGCCAAGGACTGTACAAAAATAGGTGAGGTCTGCTTCGGCCCTCAGGCCACCGCTTGCGGATTCCTTCTCCCGGCTGCAGACCTGGTGCCACACAGCACCACTTCTTTTGCTTTCCTTATCCTTATCTTTATCTTTCCCGCCACCCCCCCCCCCAGTTATGGTGAAATCTACTGAGCTCTATGTGCAGGAACATGGGTTAGGGCTGTGGATAGAGGTAGAGTGCAGCCCTGGGCGCACCAAACCTACAGAGCAGACTGAATCACAGAGGAGAACGCGTGAGTGCACTCTTTAATTGGGTGCAGAGGGCATGGCAGTGCCATGTGTGATGAGACACTGAGTGTTCTGTGGAAGAAAGAAGATGAAATGCAGCAAGATTCGCTTAAGAAAACATGTCTCTGATTAATTCAGGGTTGGGAGGTATACAGCCAGGGGACAGGTGATGGCCACTTCAAGTGAAATCATAACCGAAACCCAGATGCTTTCAGGTGGACAGGATAGAGGACAGGTTTCAGCCTTGCGGGGATGGCAGGGCTCCTCGTACCAGTGTGTAAGTGTTCACCACGCAGACTCAGAAGCCAGGAGTATTAATCGAGCACCTATGTTGTAGTAGGCTCAGATAATGGCACCGGGACCAGCAAGATTACACACACAGCAGTTCCTGCCTTAGGATATGCCAATTCATTTCTTTCTGAGAGCAACCCTGTAACATAGGTCCTATTAGCTTTCCCATTTTACAGACAAGGAACCAAAGCACAGAGAATGGAAGCAGTCTACTCAGAGTTCACAGCTGGTAAGGGCAGAGCAGGATTCAGACACAGGCTGCCTGTCGCAAAGTCTGGCTCCTAGGCACCTGCCATCCCACTCAGTCTCCCTGCAGGAGAAAGGGCAAAGCGAGGAGAGTCATCAGCACCCCTCCGTCCAGCTTTCGGCAACCTGCAACAGATACCACTGTCAGGTCAGGAAATAAGATGCCCAGAGGAGGGAGAAATGATTGCTTCTAATGACAATGCTGTCACTTTAGGAAGACAGAGTCTGATAGGAAAACACAGAAAGGTCGACCAAGACTATTTCTAGGTCAACGAGCAAAATATCTTCACCCAGTTTGGAATAAGGGCCCCTGATAATGATCAATATCACTGTTCTATCAAAATAAATTCTGGCATGAAATATCTTTCTTCTTTTAGTGTCAAAAGATTAAAGTAAGCAAGAGGGAGAGGAGAGGAAAGGGAAGTAAAGAGAATTAAGATGCGTCACGTCCACGCACTACCTCCCCACGATGTGCGTAACTGTGACATACTGCAGATGTAGACTAATAAATTTTTAAAAGATTCAACAGTCGAGCTGTTCCTTACCTAACAAGTGTGTTTTTCTTTCACAAAAACCAAAATATGCTAGAAACAACAAAGACATGAGCAGTTAGGGGCTGGGGATGTGGCTCAGTGGCACAACACCTGCCTGGCAAGCACAGAGTCCTAGTTCCATTCCCAGAACCAAAAAAAGGCAGCTAGATTTCTCAAATCAATTTTGTAAGAATAACTTTCTTTTTAGTACCAGGGATCAAACTCAAGACCTTGTTTGCCAGGTAAGCGCTTATGCCGCTGAGTTAAATCCCTGGCCCAAGAATAACTTTTAAAACTTAGTTAATTAATACATTTACTTATTTACTGGGACAGGATCTTGCTATACAGTTCTGACTGGCCTTGAATTCTCATCAGTCCTTCTCCTGTCCCCGCAGTGCTGGGATTACTTCTGGCCCAAAATGACTTTTTAACAAAAACTATTGGCAGCCGAAAGAAAATAACATACAAAGGCCCCAGCAGTGCAGCTTCACAACCTGCGAGGTGTGCTGCCCGCTCTCCTGCGGGGCAGAGCTGCGCTGAGCAGTGGGCGGTGGTGGAGGACAGGGGCCCCAGCGTGGGTGTTAGGGGCCCTGCTGCACCTGCTTGCTCACACGGCGCAGGGAGCCACTAAGAAAGCGGCTATGGCTGCCTGCACAGCAATCTCAGCCAGACGGGAAGGATGAAGAATTTGTTTTCCAGCTGGGCAGAGTGTGGGTGTGGGAAACAGAGAACTAAACCCGAGTGAAAGCATCTGAGTGGGGAAGTTAGCAAGGATAAAGGCACAAGAGTTGCAAAGGGCGAGGCCTCTGCAGAACACAGCACAAGCGAGGCCTGGGAGAGCGTAACCAGAGGGGAGTAGGAGGCCACCGAGGCTTTGAAGGCCCACAGTGTTCAGCCTTCCTCAGGAAGCAAGGGTGTGACACGGGGGGTTTTGAGCCCGAAGCGAGGAAAACACTAGAAGGGGAGGGCTAGCTACCCTGGAGTCTTGCAGTTACTCCCACAAACCCCTGTGCTCAGAGTAACTGGCAGGGCAGCCAGCAGGCAGGAGATGTGCTGCACTTCACGATCCGGAAGAGATCATCCTCATCTGGATGCTGCTTGTTTGTATGTCAGTCAGGACCTCTTGGAGGAGAGGTGGCAGCAAAAGCTGGGGTAGGTGCGAGACCTGGGACCACCTTGCCCTCTCACCTGCTCCCTGCGCCTGCGGGGACACTCTGTCACTCCCTCGTCGGCCTGGCCTGCTCTTCTCTCCCACTACCTTCAGGTGCAAACCTGGCTGAGCCCCTGTGACACTGGTGAACCCCAGGTGCCGAGCTCCTTCCCTCATTTATAAGGTGGGGCAGGAATATTTATGCCTAGGCTGGGTGCTGAGACCAAATGAAGCAAATCAACATACTGCTTGATGCGTAGAAAGTGCTTAATGGTAGACAACAGTACAAGAAAAGTACTTTTGTGGGGGCAGTACTGAGGATTGAGCCCGGCCCTTTGCACAAGCCAGGCAAGTGCTCTATCATGGAGCTACATCTCAGCCCCCTTTTTTTTCCTTCTTGAGACAGGATCTCAGTTAATCAGGCTGGCCTCAAACTTGGTATCTTCCTGCCTCAGCCTTCCCAGTAGCTGGAATTACAGGCAAATAGCACTATGCCATGTGTAAGTTAACACTCGCTAACCCACAAGTGTTTCAGATATGCCAATTCATTTCTTTCTGACAGCAACCCTGTAACATAGGTCCTATTAGCTTTCCCATTTTACAGACAAGGAACCAAAGCACAGAGAATGGAAGCAGTCTACTCAGAGTTCACAGCTGGTAAGGGCAGAGCAGGATTCAGACACAGGCTGCCTGTCGCAAAGTCTGGCTCCTAGGCACCTGCCATCCCACTCAGTCACAGCGTTCCCTCCCAGAGCTACAACCTCAGCAATCTGCATACCCTACATTTGTGTGTGCGCGCAGTGGCAACCCAGCCTGCTCTGGGCTCTCGGAGGGCTGGGCTCTGCCTTAGACCTGCCCAGCAATATGTGCTGACAAGAACCTTGTTTACTGTCCTCTCCTGTCCGCCACAGGAGAGGCAGGCATGTGCACTTTCCCGTCCCTCTGATGAGTGTGCAGAGAGGAGGCCCCAAGGATTGGGACTTGCAGGGAGCTCTCCCACCCTGACCACAGAATGGCTGCCCCTGCCGGAGCTCTGGGCGGGTACTGTGAGCTGGAAGGTGGCTCACTGCTGAATGCCTGCTTCCCTCTGGGAAGCTGCACTTTTTAGTACGTGCCAAGCGGGAAGGTGCCCACGTGGCCACCCCTCCTCCCTCATAAGTCGCTGGGTTCTGAGTCACTAATGAGTGTCTCTGGAGGACACGTGCCTAGGAGCCACAACTGTCATGAGTGTGTGCTTTGCAATTCCAGCAGGAAGAGACCTCTGGAAGCTCATACCTGCCTGGTCACCTGAAGCCCAGACACAGAGACCAGTGCCTGGGAGAGACACCCTGGCTGTGTTACCGTGGAAAAGTCACAGAACCTGCAGAGCTTCACTGTCTTCTTGGATGTGAGGGGCTCAGCCTGTCTGCAGGAGATGCCGCTGGGGGACGTGTGCTCAGAACCTGGGGTGCCTCTGCAGCACTGTTAGGTGCTGTGGTGATCAGAGCAGAGCCTCTAGGGAGTACTGGCCATGGCACCCAAGTGCTTAAGGACAGAGGTACGGAGGTAAGGATGAGCAGGGGGCGGCAGAAACCAGGGTACAATGGCTACCAGCAGCTTGCCTGACACAAGAGTACAACATTGGAAGCAACAGCCAGGACTGGGTCAAGCTCAGAGACCCTTGACTGGGGAATGTGGCCATACCCACTGGGCCTCAGCATCCTCATCCCTGAAATGAGGCCGCTCTGAGCCCATAGAGTGGCCGGCACAGTGCGTGGCACTCTGTGCGCATCAGGGAAGCACTGGCTATGGCACAGCGCACAGGACGCCGAGCCTGGCACACGCTGGGCCGGAAATCACAGTACTCACAGGCGCTTCCTGTCCACCACACGCTTCACCCGGATGGCCCTCTGCTCCGAGTACAGCTTGCACACTCCTGTCAGGGAGACCACCAGACACAGCCCATTTAAAATGGCTTCTCAGGCAAAGGAATCATTAAATATAACTAGACACGATGGCTTTCAGCTAGCAAAGCCATCATCTGAGCTCTAGCTACTGTGTAATGCCACATTTGACCCGTTAAGAGAGAATGAAGTACTTTTCAGGTAATCTTCTATGAAATCCAGAACTGCAGTCCTGTGCTCCTTCACTTGCTGGGAATGTATCTCCTTGTGGGCTGAAACAGAAAAGGACAGCATTTAGTCTTTGTGCTAACAATCCTGGAGATCACTCATCTGCAGTGAAACATGGCAATAAAACAAGTCCTGTGTCAAGGAGGAGTGGATTGATAGAGGAAGACTCCCTAGGCTTTATCTAACAGAGGCAAAACCGCAGCCACTAATTCACAGTTTATCACGCACCTAGCATCAGTACTTGCTGCAGCCCCTGGTCAAGCGCTGACCCTGCAGTGAGAGGTTTAAATCGAACCCGACCAACAGTCCCTGACCTATGTGTGCCCTGTGTCCCAGCTGGCATCCCTGTCCCCTCCCAGGCTACTCCTCTTTCCAGGCTCCCTTTTCTCTAAGTCAGACGGTCCCTTTCCAGCAGCCGTCCCCGACTCCTAGCCAAAACAATGCCCTTCCTGCATGGATTTCCACACAGAAGTCTGCCGAGATGGCCATGAGTCCATGTATGTGTATTTTCCTGGCAAAAAGTTCGGCAGCTTTCATCACCCTCTTGAGTGGTCCACCAGATGCTCACGGAAGGAGCCCAAATAAGCCTGCCCTGGGCACACAGCATCTGGCAACTGGAACCCCATACTACTGGTGGAGTCTACCTGCCTGATACCTGTGTTAACAAAGGCAGAGGAAGAGACTGACTGGGGAGCCACCTGGCCAGGCCTTGATGGGGACTAAGCCCAAGGAAGGAGAGAGAATGAGCACCCTCCTGGTGCCAGGCACGGTTCTAAGGATGCTGTAAGGACTCAACCTGGATCTCACAGCAGCCCTAAGAAACAGGCCCTATGAATTGCCTTTTAAAGATGAAGAAACTGAGGCCTGGGAGATGGTGAGGCTACCTGGGAAGAAAGTGGCAGAGCTGGGCACACTGCTCAGCGCCAACACGAGTCCCTTCCTGCCACGAGGGCTCCATTCCCCAGTTACTTCAGTGAGACCAGCAGAGACCGCATCCGCCTCGGCCCTCTAACACCACTCGGGCATCCTCGTTAGCCCAGGCCTTGCTACAGGTCTGGCCTCTCTGCAGAGGTCCTACCCATCTGGCTCCTCTCAGATGCTTACCTTGAATGACAGTCCTCTCATGATCTGGAACAGCGTAGGTTCAGGAAAGGAAGGATTAAGGTAGGTTTTTCTTTCTGTTTTTCTGATACTGGTGATAAACCTGGGGCCTCTGCATTCTGCTGGTCCCCAGCTTCTTTTCACTTTTTATTCCGAGATCTGTTCTAAGCCGCTATGCTGTTTCGGCTGGGCTCCAACTTGCAATCCTCCTGCCTGCATCTCCCAGTGTGCTCGGTTACAGGCAGGCACACCATGCCCAGCTGGATTTGAGTTTTAAACCCTAATGCTTCAGTCAGAAGCTAAGAGGGAACTGTGAGTGATGGAGCCGCATGGATCCTGTATGACTACTTGACAAAGGCATGACTGCTGAGTACTCTACCTTCCACTCTGAGTTGCTGAATTGCTTCTGAGCAGGTCCTCATAAATATCTGAGCATCTTGGTCGATCTGGTCTCGCTCTGTGTCTGTCATCCTCCCATATTCAGACATGATATGGCTAAAGAGGAGAGAAGAAAATGAGGGCGCCAGCAAACTACAGCTCGGCCGGTGTGCACAGGGAGGAAGAGGTTTCCCTGACCGAGTGACAGGGAAGCCAAGGCCTTGAGGAGCAGGTGGAGGAACAATCCAGAGAGCAACACCTAGAGGTGGAAAAGCCTGGAGTAGACCCCAGGCAGGCCAGGAGAGGAAGCAGACTGGGCGGCAGGGGCTCAGAGCTGGAGCTGCAGGGCTAGGGGAGGACAGAGGTTTGTCTAGAGAGCTGGGGCAGCTCAGTGACTCTGCGGGCTGCACTGGCCCCCAGCGCTGTCTGGACAATTGTGCATGGACACAGTCTGGGACTGTGCAGATCAGTATGAGATGCTGCTCCTTTTGATGTCGACGAGCAGTCTTCAAAACACAGTAAAAGAGCTTTCAGAAACAAACTGCACTTCCTCTGATTTTCAGCTGAACCTAAAATTACTGTGCTAGCAAGGCTGTACAGTTTTTAACACTGTACCTGGCAGCCCAAAAGCTAGGAGTCTTTCACTTTGCTCTCCTTCCTCAGGTCCTGGTGGGCGTGGTCATGAGATCGGCCATGGTGATGCTACTTATCCTGGTGCCACCCTCCATCTTACAGCTGAGAGTTTAAGCCACAGATCATGAAATACAGGGCTCCTGTACAATGCGTAGACACAAACAATTGCAATCTCACCCACCAGCCCCATTAATGAGTGAGTCTCACTGTCTCATGCCCCTGTGACCTCACTTCCTGCGCTGGTTCCCATGTGTCTCACTTTGGGCACACTGGCCACCCTGCTGACCTCGGGCAGCTGTAGACTCCTGACTCAGCCTGGCTTGCCCTCTGCTCCAACAGCCCCCTTGGGCTGGGCTTTCCTGCCCACTCCAGGCTTCCTGTAGCTCTGCACAGCACGTTGTTCTTATACCTGTGCTGGTATTACTGCCGGTCTCTCAGTTCAAAGCCACCTTTCTCTGCTTCGTGATATGGAGTCGGGGGCCCCCAGACTCTACTGCTGTGCACCACTATCTATACTTCTCTTTTTTCTTGATTGCATTCACTCTTCCCCAAAATATTAAATAATTATGTCTGTCTCTTCCCAGTAGAATGAAGCTCCACAAAACCACGGTGTTTATCTGGTTCACTTCTGCTTTCTTATATCTCATATGGTGCGTGACACAGAGCAGGTATGCAAATACTAGCTGAACACTCAGTCTAATTAATGCTCACGATCGGTCCACTGGCTCACTCACACACACACACACACCTCTGGGCCGGGTCCCCGTATATCAAAGACTGGGCCAGAGTGAGGAGCTCAGAGTCAGAGGCTTACACTGATCTGCGTGGAGAGCACTGAACTTCACAGGTGACACAGAACACAGGAGCAGTGGAGAATGGTGGAAACATACAAGGGACAGTGGACAGCTCCTGTGGGTGGTTTGGGCAGGCTGCGTGGAAGGCACCCAACACGAGTGCAGTGAAGACCAGCTACAAATTCCCAACCTGCAGGTGGTGGGCAGGACAGCCACATGTCAGCTCTACCCATGGTACGTCAGGAAGGGGAGCAAACAGGCCGGTCCCATGTAAACCCAGGATGGGCCTCTGGCGATGGGCCTCGGAGCTGCTAGGTTGTCACAAAAGGATAGCACCTCAAATGCATGTGACCAGCGTCTCCACACAAACCATGTCTGCCATTCATCTGCACTATTTTTCAGTAAGTATGGATGGTATTGTGATGGAAAGTTGTTTCTGATTCTGTAACAGCTATTCCTCTAATATCAATAGGTTAAGAACACGGTGATAAAACAGAACACGATCCTCCACAGGAACAGGGTCCCTGCAGTATGGCAGCTGGCCCCATGCAGGGCCCAGCAGGAGTGGCCAGTGGAGTGTCCAGGACGAGTGTGTGTGTGCAGCAGACCAAGGAACACACAGCAGGTGAGTCAGGCTGTCTGGGTATGGCGGAAGTGCAAATCAGGCTGAGAGGGACAGAGGCTGGGCCAGATATGCAGGCAGAAGGAGGGCCCAACCCAGAGGACAGAGTGGGGCTTCCATGATTCCCTAAGAGCACCCGGAGATGCACCAGGGGCACCTGCCACGAATCAAAAGTAATGAACGCATCTGGCCTCAAATTACATTACCATAATAACAAAATCAATACTATTCTAAAAAGACAAGTATGTGACAAGTAATTTCCCATAAGGCATACATATATACATTTATCAAAGTTTGTTTCATTTCCTTTGCTATGTACACAGAAGTAATTTCATTACAGATCTCAATTTATCTAGGTGTTAGACTCCATTAAAGGAAACAACATTGGGTACGGGTCTAGTCACTCAATTTACTTCATGGAAAAAGGAAAAACTTGGATAGTAAAGTTTATTTACTGGAAGAGAAATGTAAAGGAATATATTTTTCCTTAGTTGATCAGAATACCAAGAAAGGTTAGTATATCAAGAAAGGTCAAGTTCAGAATCACAAACTATTGATACTTTTCTGCCTATTAATCTAATACACAACCAGACACCTGCTGAGGAGAGATGAGGAGTAACAGATAGTTTATACCCTGTGGTAAAGACACTGAAAAGGAATGGGCGAAGTCAAAAATTCAACCTTACTTGTGCTCTGTAAATACGAGATGAGCAGACCAGTTTCACAGCATCTTTTGGACTCTAGCTATACTGTGTAAGCCCAGTCCGCCTAATCTACACTATGAGGTTAGACACCAGCGTCAGGGCTGCAGAGGTGGAGGAAATGCAGATGCTGCTCCCAGCACCCTGGGTTACAGCGGGTGCACCTGTGTTTACACAGCTGCTTATAGGTCAGAAAACAAAGGCTGCTCATTATGAACACTTCCCAGCGCTGCCGAGAACCACTTCAGGGGTGTGGGGGCACTGCTATAATTCCCACTCTGCACATGAAGCAACTGAGGCGCAGAGCACATATGTAACTGTGGGTCACTGGCAGAGCTGAGACGTAACCGGGACAGGCAGGAGGATGAGTTCGCTTCTGTGGCCAACAGGAAGACAGTGTGGGGAAGCTAAACACAGTAACACCACTCAGGGGACCCGCTCCTCTACCTGCATGCTCCCTGGTACCATGCGGTGGGAGGTGCTCCACAGGTTCTCGTGAACTGACCTTTGAGGGAGGGGCAGTGGCCGGGCATCAGAAATGCCTGGATATGAGAGGCAGAGCTGTCAGGAGCAGAGCAGATGCTAGAGGCGAAGCCTCGAAAAACCCTGAGACCCGGGCCTGAGGGCACACGAGGCCCCGTAAAAACCAGAAAGCAGGGCAGAGGGCACTGGAAACGTGGGCAAGGAAAGAACCAGCGTTAACCAAATGGTCTGTGATGAACACTGACTTTGGAGAAAGGAAACCAGGCAAATGGCCTTTGAACTGTTTTCTTCCAACGTCCTAGGGTACTAAAGGGACCTTAAGGAATACGGGGGCACAGTCAGTAACGAGCAGCTTTCCAGCTGGCTGGCCTAGCAGCAGGCGGGGCTGAGACAGAGCTCAAGCTAGCAGCTTTCTGTGCTCGCTGACCTGTGGAGCCCTGCCTGCTGCCCTTGCTGACGCCAGTGCACGGTGCACGGTGCACGGTGCACGATGCATGGCTGTCTTTGCTCCCTGCTACCTCAGGCCACACTTCGTCTCCTCTCCTGTCCTGATTGCCCTCTTCCTGCTCTCTGAGCATTCCCCTTCCCCTCCTGCAGTGGCCCCCTCCTTCACCCGGCACTCGCCTAACCCCCACATCCAGCTCCATCACCCCGAGTGAATGAAAACTCATACAGCATTCAGACGGCGTCTGGTCTGGTGCGAACACCGTAGGCCTCTATGTTACTGTCTACTCCGAGTTTCTTAACTGCATACAAACATGGAGTTACACCTCTCGCTCAACTTGAAAAATGAAGTAAAATCTGTGCTACTGCATGTCTCCTACCAACTGCTACCTGACTTCTCGCTTTTTGGTAAAGCTCTCACCAACATTCCTAGTACAAGTCTCCACTGATCATGGTGTCTGGGACTTGCCCCCAACAGGTATTTATCCTTTCTGCTCCAGGTCACCATGGCCCCCTCTAGGTTCAGTTGATGGCCTCCTTGTGCCCTCTGCAGACCCAGCAGGGCAGGTGATGGATGACTCCTCCCTGGGCCTCCACGAGAGCCCACAGCTCTGGCTTCCTACTCTCCCATTAGTTGCTGGTGGCACTTATGCCCACACCTCCCAGCTCCCGGCCCATTTCCCTGACTGGCCTGCAGGGCCACCCCTAAGTCCTCCCACTCTCTCAGTGACACATCTCACCTCCTGGCCTAGACCAGTTTCGCACGGACAAGCCTGCTTCTCTCCCCTTAAACTTGAGACGCACGTGCTGAGCCACCTGCTCAGCTTCTCCAGAAACTTCGCCTGCTTTGCAAACATGTTCTCAATCCAGCCTCTGGTTTCTCCTCTCAAACGTGCTCCTCAGGGTGCTCCTGTATGTGCTGGTGGCAATGCCATCCTCCCAAACCGTGGGGTCACCCTTAGCTCTTCTTTTCATCACCCTGCTCACATCTAATCCAGCAGCAAATTCTGTTTGCCTTACTTTCAAAACCATCCCAGAATCTGGTCTCTTCTCGCCGCAGCCACCTCGTCCTCTCTGGTGCACACAATGCCTCCCCAGCCTTGGCCTCCTGCCAGGTCTGCGCTCTGCCAGGCCCTCTTCAGCTACAGCACAGAGCTGTGCTGAACACGTTACCCTCTCCAGCCTCTGTGCAAGTCTTTGGTGGCTGCACACAAGAGTAAGACACAAACTCCTGGGGCACCTACAGGCCCCTCCATTCGCCCACGCTAGGCCCCACACTCGCACATAGCCTCCTCGTTCCCCAACCTGCAGATATACCCCTCAGACAGCCGCACACGCCCTGGCCTTCTTCCTTCAGGGGCTGTCATCACCACATCAGGCCTCATCTTCTTTGGTATGGCCCCTTCCCTACTCGTCCCCCACCTCTGCATTTCCAGGGGA